CCACCCCCACCGACAAAAACAACAGGAAGACCATAGCTATTCACAAACGTAGGGGACGTCCTTAAATTTACCTTTTCTGTTATTTGGACGTTTAACAATTACCCAATCGATATACGTTGCATTTTATCTACTTCAAAATTCAATACATGACTCACCGATTGTAAAAGCTCAAGAATCAAATAATTCATATCGGATTTATTCATCGTTGTCATTGTGGAATTTGAACCGATGTTAAACAGCGCTTTTCTAACGAGTTGAAGTATGTCTGTAGTCTGTAACAAAAATAAATAAAATAAATATGTTTATATAAATCGATAAAACATGTCTGAACTGCAGATGGATATTTTGGAAAGAGCTGACAAGCATACACTGTATTTTCGATACGCTGATTATTTATTATTCCCAATCAGATAGTAGTTCCATACATACATATTTGTTCTTTGCTGCTTGGACCGATAGCATTTTAGGGCATGGATAAAAAACAATCTACCTGGACCAAACAAATATTATGCAGATTTCAACCTGTGACTTAATGTACACGTGTCTGCAGTTAACAGTTCAATACAAGCTATGATTGAATGAAATTATACCGCAAGCTGTTAAAAAGAAACAGAAAAACATGTGACATGTAATGCTAAGTGTAGCTTGTTCAAATACGTCAATGTTTACCTTGATTGAGCTACAGCATATTATGCGACTTCGATGTACCCGGATATAGGCATTTAATTGTAAATAAGAATTAAAGTAAAGACAGGAACGGAATTCTTTTTAAAGAGTTATTGGTAACTGTCGTTTTACAAAGATACTGGATGATATGATAAGACACTTAATGCGGGTGAACTTTCTTAAAATTAAATAGTTTGTTTCTGATGAATTTGTCACTCTATTTCACCTTTTTACCTTTTTATTTTAAGTTTGATGTACAGTGTATTTCTTTTTGTAAACGACTTTCTCTTTGAAGTCTATTTTTGTCCTAAATGACGTCAATTGTCGGATAGGCCGTAAACAAACTAAGGTATTTTGTTTTTAAAGGTTACTTTGTACATAACTAATTTCTAAATCTGTCCATATGAAATCTGCCAGCTGCCATTGTGACGTGATTTTACGAATGGGCAATGGTTTTTCAACCAGTAAGGAAAGATCGATTTTAAACGGCAAATCATCTGGACGATTTTTCACGATTTTGTAGTGTGGGTTCTCAGCTTACCCCGTTGTCTTTATCGGTGCCGACGAAGAAGGTTGGGAGAAGGATGACAGCCACGTTGTCGATATTCGCAGCGTATTCCTGTATTCGATAGAGATTGTTATCATCCTGCAGCAGGAAAACCAGCCAAAGAGAGCGTATACTTAGTGACGACCGTCTCTGGTTATTCCTGACGTACTGACCCGCCTGTATGAAAAACAAAGACATGTAGGCAAAGATGTTGCCCCTGATACAAGCATACATATAGACGCAGGGAATCGCATGTTAACTGAAATTGAAATGCTTGAACAGTTTTATGAATGAAATTGGTAAATATGCGAATGTATGGTACATTGTATTTTGTATGTTCTTGATTCGATTTTTGCAAACGTAGGCAGTCCTGTCTGTTATATATGTTGTAGTGTCTCAAACAAATTTGATATTGTTATAGCCGAAGGTACGTTGATTTGTTTTCGATGGACTCAGAATATTTCAGAAACGTTTTTTCAAACGTCCATGTAGCGTTACATAATGACGAAATAGCAAGGTTGCAATATGGTAATTGTGAAAATAAATATCTAGTTACAGTTAGTGGTAAATTCACCTTATATTCAGAGGAACACTGTGTTATCAATATTGAAACGCATAGGTATGGTTTTGAGATGAAATAAGTCAGCAACAATTCCACTTTCCTGAATTAATACAAAACACATAAAAAGGTGTATCGCCGTGGTCTATTTACAAGAAATACACTCACAAAACACTTACTGTAAACAATACGTGTTCAACACATGTAGTATGTCCCATGATGGTTATGTTGATTTTGTGGTCACCACTAGGTCCGTCTAGCGTCTCCAGCAGTACCTGTACTTGATCCTGATTCATCGTGCCTACCTCGTAAGCAACCACAAAACGACCCTCATTGGATAATACCCGGATGATTCTATCCACATAAAACTCTAGGATTTGAATAGAAGTGATTTTTATTCAGCATTTCATTATAATCTGGGTTCAGTAACTCGTAAGATGAATCGCTTAATCACTGTTTCACGGCAATTCTAACCTCTAATAATTCAGTCAATATACAAGGTAAAGTGTACATGTTATTTTACTCTACTGAAAACTTTCTGTGTGGAGATGTTTCACTCAATAAAATTGTTGTGTACACGGAAAAAATAAAATTTGCGCTAGTCACTGATTAAGCTTTAATCATCTTTTAAACAACTGAACCCTGATGTGCTTACTAAATAGTACCTGAGGAAACACATTAGAGATTATCTATTAAACAGTTTTATATAAAAAAGGGGGGTACGGAGATACAATTGATGTATACTTGATATAAACATTTCTTACAGATTAGAGAATGTTGATTTTAGCATATTGCTATTACTTACAGTTTTGTAGAACATTCAATCGTTGTTTTTGTGTCATGTTTCATTAGTTTTTTGGCCATTGTTTTGTCTTTAAACTTCATTTTACTGATTTTAAACCACTTATAACAGCATTTCTAAGATCACAGTGGCAAAATAATAGGAATCAATGCGTAGATAACAAATTACATTCTATTAAACCTCAAATCGGTGAATGGCATCCTAGCTACAGA